AACGTGCTTACAAGAAAAAGGGCGTGAAGTGATAATGTAGTGAATTATGGAAATGAAAAACTAACTGTACTTACAGTAAGATAAGAATCGCAAAATTTCTCTATAAATCTGAAGAGATAGTAATAGCTGAGTGACAAAAAAAAAACAGGCAGTCACTAATGCAGTCCTTCCCTGTGCCTATACTCAATACGTTTTTGACCTCCAAAACGCAGGGTTGTTTATCAGTGTGGAGTTAAGGTTAGCAATTTCTAGTATTGTGAGTGGGGGTCATTTTCTTTTGGTGAAATTGGGAGTTGTATTGCCTTTCCTAAGCAATGTGCTGGACAATATACATGATATAGATTCCATGAAGCATATTAACATACTAAAATTGCATTGCAGTTCAAAACAGCTTGTGTTGAAATCACTATAAAATGATTTGGGCTAGTTTTCCAGGATTTGGGCAAGATACTGACAAACCTATTTGTAGTTTAAATGAGAGATACAGATTATATTGCACACTTTCATCTTGGTGCACCTCCACACTGAGGCAGCATGCCTGTACTAGAATTTGTGAGGCTGCTGATACTGAGGGACATTCTTGATTCAAGACACTCTCCATTTATAAGCACGGTATGGACAGCTAAGAGTGAGAAAAGCTGCCAGTGGTTTCCAGAGTTGCAGTCTCGTCTTGGTTGTTATGATAGTTCATTGAATGTGGACCTTGCATGTTGTTGCTTTTCATTTATGGGGTGGTTTTCATTATGGGGTTTATGGGGTGGTGGAAATGCTGTTAAAAACTCTGGGGAAGGAGATCTTAAGTGCGTTTTTCAAGACTGTAGCCTGTGACTGAAAGGCTACAATCTCCTGGCTATGTAACCACACTGCCCACTCTGTAACTGTTTATCATCTGTCCCAAGGTGATAATCATCAGATGGAAACGACTTGTTTGTTGGCCTCTTTGAAACTGGCTGGTAGTCTCCTCACCTATTAACTTTATTATTATTAGAAATCTTTTTGCCTAACTTTATTGTTTTACAAAGCATTTGCAAATATGGATGGGATTCATGAGCTGTTATCTTATGGATTTGTCTTCCCCTTGTCTCTTAAATGCTTTCGAATCAAAGATTCTAATAAAATTTTAATTGTTTGCAAAACTGATTCATAGTTACTGCGGAGTGTAGAAATATTGGCATCAACTGAAATACCAAGAGCAGGAGTTTAGGCTATTGAGGGTGTCACTCCAAGAGGTGTGGGTCAGATAGTGTAATGTCAGTGATAAGCATTGCATGTTTGGTGGCAGATATTAAGAATGGTCTAGAGGCAAATAATGCTGTCTTCTATATTCAACAGGAAATTAAAGATAGGAGTGCCATGGAAAGAGCCCTTGAAGCCTGAGCATCTCCCTGTTGCATGCTTAGGAGCACACAACTGACCTGATGGTTATACCATTAGGTTTTGTATAGGCTGTACTTTAAGCAGAGGTGGCCTACTACTGTGGTTTGGTTAGAGGCCTGAGAACTGCTTAATATGCCCCTGTTCTTCCACTCGCTATATTTTATTTATTTATTTAAACTTGGCAACAGAACTCTTAAGGTTTCAAAAATAAAATGAAGATGCCAGTTATTTTTTAGGTGTCTGGTTAGCAGCCTTTTCAAGGATTTGTCACATGACATTAATACAGTTTGGTTGCTAGATGGACTGCAAGGATTTTAAGAACATTACATCATTTATTACTGTGTGTAACCTTATTTACTCCACTTGTTTCATTTTTCTCAAGTAAGTGAAGAAAATATTTACTTTGCTCAACAGGGGTTTCTGAGGCTGAACTTATTTCATATGGGTAACTAGGTTTGGTGTTTGGAAGGTGCCATACAGTCATTACTTATTAATAGGAGGACCTGCAGAAGTAATGCATTATTTATATTATCTGTGGAAGACTTGCAACTACTTTTTGTTTGGACTAGAAATGTTCAAAAGTATGGTCAGCTGACCTCGTTTACTTCCACTATACCACCATACGTACAGAGTAAAACAATTTTTTTTTTAAATGGCATGATATCATCAGTTTTCTACCTTAAATTAGTGTACAAAATGTGAAGTTAGCACTGATGGATGTGCCTTTGTCTTTCTGTGTAATGGCCGGATAGGGCATCCTGAATAGGACAGTATTTGGAGTAATACAATTAATTAGGATAGGTATGAGGCACCAAGTTGTTCCCATATGGAATATTTCCTTGTGCAGGGTTATATACTCAAGTTTAGAGTTTCTCAAGTTTCTCCCTGATAATTCATTCAACCATTGGGATTTCTTCTACTGTGGAAGAGACTTACAGTTTGGCCCTCTAAACTCATGGACAAACTCTTGGGCAGTCTGTTGAAACCAAGGTCATTCTCTGAGAGGTTCAGTGCTGCTCTGTTGCTTGTCAGTCCCCATAGCTCTTTCAAGGAGTTGTGTTCCTGCACTGTCTTTGCAGCTTCCTCAGCTCCCCTAAAGGGGGTTTCAGATGGTGAAGGGGAAAAAAAATCAGCATATTGTAAATTAATGCTGACATTGTCAGCATTAATTTATGCCAGAAATCCATGTAGAATAGGAGGTGGAAAGACTGATGATGCAGAAAGCAATATTCCCTACATCCTCCTCTCTATAGAGCACCACAGCAACTGTGGATAACAGCACAGAACCAGTACTTTTTCCCCTTTCTGAGTTTGCTATTTTGCAGCCTCCTATGAAAATAGGAGCATTTGAGCAAATGATCATTGCTTGGAAAGCTGGGTTAGTTCAGTGCAGTTGCCACTGAAGTGTATTTAATTACAGGTTTAGTCATGCAGCCCTTATTAAAGTTAACAGAGTTATGTTGCTGAGGGTCCCAGGTGTGTCAAATGAGGGTTTGTGAGCAGTTGTAAATAATTGCTCTGAAATTTTTGGACGACATTACTAATGCTATACAAAAAGAAAATGGCATAATCATGAGAGTAGAATGCAGATCCAGGACCTGGATGTGCAGAGGGAATTCTTATAGTGGTTACAGAATAGATTTGATCATGAGCAGGTGTAAGGAATTTGTTTGGATTCATCTCTACCCCCAAAAAACCTCCAGCCCTGTTTTTCTGTTTTTTACTTCTGTATTTTTTTAAGCACCGTATTATAAAAATGAAGTACGTTACTTGTAAGGTAAACTAACTGAAGGCAGATAGGAGGTGTTTTGTCTTAATTGAAAAGAAGTTGCTCCTTCTGTGTGTATGTGTTTTAACTTCAGAATCACATGTGCACGTTAGTGAACCTGAGATTCTCCTAGGAATATATTTTTTTAATCTTTACTTCTGCCCCAAGTGTAGAGAAGGCAATTGTGACTGTAAAATGAGCATGACATTACTTGAAACAATGTGAGGTGATTAAGAATACATGTACACTGCTTAAAAGATCTAGGGTGCAAATTTACTGTTTTTTTTTCCTAGCCACCTGTTTGTTTTTTTTTTTTTTAAAGAGACTATTTGAAGTTAGCAGGATAAAATATCAGGTGATAAAATGATGAGTCAGATAGTCAAAAGAAAAAAAAATCTAATGGGGATACATGCTAGAATAAGGCTTTTTAAAAATTATTTTTGCAACATCTGATTTGTGATTTTGATTATGTATTCTGCTAAGTTCAAAGTTTCCTCACATAAAGAGAGAGCTGTATGAAACAACCATGCTTCAAACCATTTTACTTCAATTGTGGTAGCAGGTTTTAGAGTTTAAATCATTAACAACCTCTGTGTGAACTTTTATCCAAATGACTGCAAGTCACAAAGCGAACACTTCTCTTTCACGAAGTACCTTTTGTGCTTTAGTGAGACCCAGTACCTTTTCCATTTTTTCCCCCACCTTCATGTCTGTCTTTGAAGAAAGATGTGTGATTTGTGAGGTAATGAAAGTATGTATCAGTTAATGAAAACTGCTGTACTGGGTTCATAATGCACACTGAAATTGCTTCAGGATAAAGCTTCATATACCTGCATTACAGTGGGAAGAAAAGTAAATTTCAGAAGTCCAGATTGCTGTGTGCACTGTAGGAGTATCATGTAGCAGTTAAATCAACCATTAGGGGTGACCTAATCTTTTTATTTTTTTTCCCCTCCCCATCACCCCCCCCCCGGAAGGATTTGTGATTTTACCACTGCCTGCACGTTTTTTCCCCACTTTTTTAAAAACTGCAGTAGAAATTTTCAGAAGCTGATCCTGAAACAGTGTATCCGCATAGTAACTTATCCACATAGTAACTTACCCACCTTCCTTTCCTGCTCATTTTATGTACTCAATTTGTCATGGAGAGACTTGTATGTAATAGCCCTCCCCCAAACTGAAGTTCAATTAAAATTAGCCTCTTCACATTGGATCTTCACAAGCCCAAGAAACGCTAAAGAGTTCTCTCTGCACTTTTGTTTTAGTAGACGAAGACAAAAGTGCTAATTTAAAAAAGAGCCATTATTTTTATTTTCTTTACTGCCAGGAACGTGAGGGAACTACAGCGCGACCGGTCGAGACACCGAAATCCTCCTTTCCTCCCCCCTCCTTTTTCTTTCTCCTTTTTTAAGAGCGCCTTGGGCGCGGGTGAGGGACGGGGGCAGCGCATCCTCCGCGCCGCGCACCCCTGCGGAGAGGAGCGCAGCGCCGCGGGGAGCGGGGGCACCTTCCCCTTTGCTCCGGCCTGGTGC